TGAACACATACTCTCCGACAAAATCAGAAGTTCTGAGTTCCATAGAACTGCTGAAATCCAGGAAAGCGACAGGATTAGATCGAATTCCTCCAGAAACACTGAAAACAGACACAGAGACAACAGCGGACATGCTCACACCACTATTGCAGAAGGTTTGGAAGAAAGGAAGTAAGGATACCTTCCGATTGGAAGAAGGGCTAACTTGTCAAACTCTCAAAGAAGAGAGACCTAAGTCTTTGCGAGAACTGGGGCCAAATCATGCACCTGCTCACCTTAAGTGCATCGTCCTGGAGAGAGTGAAAGTTGCGCTGGATTCATAATTGCGACTGGAACAGGCTGACTGACTTCAGGAAGAACAAATCATGTGTGCATCAAATTGCAATACTTCACTACACATCATCATAGAACGGAGCATAGTATACCTCAAATTCATTGACTTTGAAAAGGCTTCCGACAGCGTCGACCGAGAAGTAATTTGACAGACAGCTGCTGCTTCAATACTACGGTTTCAGTGCCACAAATCTTTATCAACCTCATTCAACAGCCATATGCTATATGACGACGCAATATGCCAAGTGATATGCAATGGAAAACTCAGTGACGCTTTTGAAGTGAAGATAGGAGTAAGACAAGGCTGCTGCCTACTATCACCCATGATCTCTCTGATTGTGGTCGACTGGACTGGATCATAAAGCAAAACGTGAGGAGTGAGAAGGTGGGCATACGCTGGCTGAGCCGATGTAAAGACTCCAGAGGAAGATTTAGATTTCGCCAATGATGATTCACGTCTAATGTCTTGTTGTACAAACTCGAATATTTACAGGTGAAAACTAACAAGTTGACAGAAAAAGTGAGGCAGCGAATACGGGACTTCAAGTAAATGTAGAGAAGACAGAGGCGATGAAAATACCCAAGCAACAACAGCATGAACAGCAAGCACTAATCACCACCAACGGGAGAAACCTAAAGGAAGTAGTCTCTTTCACCTGCACTAATCTGAAGTCAGTGTGGAGATCTACTGCATTCAGCATAAAGCGTGAACAAGATCCGGGTTTCCAGCAGTAATTCAGTCAAGTAAGTCAATGCTTCTATGTGATGGTTGATAGACTTGATGGTGCATCACGAAAGCATTTCCAACAAACTACAGACATTCATCAACTGCTCACTCAATACTGAAGACCGGATGGCCAGAAAGAATAAACAACAAAGAGCTCAGTCCGGCTGGCAACGAAACAACCAAGAACCCGTCGCTCAACAAATATGCAGGAGAGGAAATTGGAGCTGGATTGGACATACATAGAGAAGATCGATTGAGGACATCACACATCAGGCCAGGCCCTCGAGGGGAACCCAAAAGAGAAACGATGGGTTGGACATCCAAGGTGAGGGTGACATGGAGGAGATGGTGTGAGGAATAAATGAAATCTTCTGGACAGACATGGAGCCAGGTTCAATAGACTGCAGAGAACAGAGTGTAGCGGAGATGTGCAACTGAAGCCCAATGTTCCACTAGGAAACCAAGGGACAAATAATAATAATGATGAGTTTCATAACCAGAAGGAAAGCAGTTTGGTAGCCAAGTAGGAATCTTAAATTTGTCGTATCGCGTCAATATAGCAAGATACTTGAAATAAATGGCTTGGGGACTGTAAATGAGCAAAGAAATTCGTCACGACGAGATACTGAATGGTATGGATACTTTACCATACACTTTCAGTAAAGCTAAAATAAAACTTAGAAGGTCAGCAGCAATGTCGAATATCGTTGAACTACAGGCTGCTGATTTTATGAAATTATTTGTTATCCCACTGCCTTAGTTATGTTGAGTGGCACAAGTATATTATTGGATAAATTTATGTAAACGTAATTCTTATTTGATGAATGAATTTATTCCTTTACTTCGAAAAGTGTACCCATCTTGATATGAACTATATTCTATTTGTATTTAGTAGTTAGTAACCTAAAATTATATCTAGAATTAGTAAAAGTGAAGAAAGAATGTGAAAATAAAGAAAAAGTCAGATTCATCTTGGTGACTTGAAGTGGGATCTAGGACGTGTGTTTCGTCCTCTTTGGGATTCATCAGATGGATATACCTACACTTCAGTGAGTGGTGTACATCCCACTAGGCCTCGAAACCAGTACTCACCTCTGTAAACGGTAAGGAGTTCGAGTCTTAGCGGGAACAAAATTACTCACTGAGGTACAAGAACCTTCAATCGACCAATTCCAAATAGGACGAAGCGCCGATCCTAGCTTCCACTGCAAGTCACTAAGATGAACACAATATAATGAATATCGGATAGCATCGAGTTACCCGCAACGGAGTCTATCCGACAACACAGGTAGAGTAATTCGACCCTGTGAAGCAACTAAAAATTACAATATCAATCAGTAACAAACGAAAAGTTGTTTACCTAAACATTCTAAGCAATGTTCTTTGAGTTTCATAGTGAACTTGGTACACTTTCACTTAATTTACAGTTTTAATAAAACACCAATTACTATTACCGCTTTGCTTTCCATTTTCACTCATTAGTGTGGCTAATTTATATTGCCGAAAATATTAATTTGTAATAACCAACATCTTAGTTGTCTCTAACTGTGAAAAACAAAAAACTTCCTACCTAAACTATTTTTGCTACTATAGTCTTTAGAAAATGTGATTAAACAATGGACTGGATTTCTACGCACTTCATTTTTGTTGAATTCAGTAAAGTGTAAAATGAAAGTTATAGACGTTTTTGCAAAACCTAGTGTCCGTTTAAGCATTCTGTATAAACACTTTCGTCTACTTTGAAATGAACGTTTTTATTGTCAATTTTAACGTCAGCATGTACTGAATTGGTTTGTATACAATTTTTTTGTCTTTACAAACTTGACTAGAACAGGATGTAATCACATAGTGTTCACTTCATTTTGGTGGGAAGTAATCAACCTTATATAATTTTAATATCAAAGTATATGAAAAATGTTTGCCTACTACATTCATTTCTACAGTAGAGTATTCAAGTAATATCGTGAAAACATTAATATTTGGTCCCCAAAACCAGTAGGAATAACTAGCCTATCATGAGGATTACTAACTAGATTGATCATTTCAAAGAAGTGTCGGTAAATATTCTGGTTTAATCACACTTATTTCATCCTTTCGGAGAAACTGAAAGATAACCAATATTTTGACACAAAATTTCTTCTGCAAGAATGTTTTCCGCACATATTATCTCAAGAACACGTCTTTTGTATTTGAATGGACAGTTTTATGTTTATCCGAATACTTCTTGAATTTCACTTTCTGACAAGAAGGTTATATACTTACGGTTTTTCATAAAAGGAGAATAATAGAAAGAAATATTTCTAACCATGACATTAAACTCGACTTAAAAGGCCCCTAAACAGTTGATCAGCTAATGATATAAAGACAGTGAATAACCCTCCATGTCAGACTCATCTACATCCTACGTGTCAAACCTTAGACCAGGGTATTTATTCAAGAATATATTTCATTTTTGATTCTAGCTTTATGAACAGCTGTTAATCTTTTTACTAAGTTGTCATTATATGTCTTGGTTCCAAACTTAATTTCAAATTAAACGGTTTGATGACCATTTTGATTGGCCTTATCGATTGAGTTTGGTAATTAATTTTGTTTCACTGATTCCAAGATATCACTGAATATTCATGCAAATTATTGTCCGCCTAAATATTAGGATCACTCTGACAGGCTCTAACTGATTCATGCGTAGTTATTTCTTCATGTTTTCAACTATTTTTTTTCAATATTTAACTAGGCTTTTCAGTACATTTTCACCCTTTGAAATATCACGCTGCCTCAATTTATAAAAGTGAAGGTACACTGCAACTCAGCAAAGTGAATGCTTCCTGACTGAAGTCCTGTGTTGTTTTTAGATTCGAAACTTTAAGACATATAATGTTGTGACTCACTGAAAAACCTTCCATTGGTTAAGTAGAAAAGATTTCAAGCTTGGAATGTAGATGATGTTGGTTGGCAGAAAACACTGAATCAACAGTTTTCCTTACAGTGATCAGGTTTGCAGTAGTATAATAACATTCACCTCCAGAAAATGTATTCTTATCTCTTTTAAGCCCGATTGTTCGAACCTTGAAGAGTTAGAAAAAGACTGTTGGTTAGCTGTCTTATTTTGCGTAAAAGCAGTGGTTTTATCTTTCAGATTATTTCTCCTAGAAAATAAGACATAAATACTTCTCTCATGCTTAGTAGTGGCCTATCCTGGTATAGGGATTACTGGAAATGTTGATTTTCTTCAAACAACTATAGTAGTTGATCTGTAAAGATATATATTTAAATAGTATAGAAAGCAAACTAGCAAACGGCTTGAATTGACTTGGTTGTAACTAGGCCATGGAGTTCAGGAAGGGTGTTTGTCCTTTTTGGGACTCGTCAGCTGGATATATCTGCACCCCAGTGAGTGACTTTGTTCCCACTTAGACTCTAACCTCGTACCCATAGCTTTAAACATCAAAACATTATTCCCTAAGCCACTGAAGCAAGATAACCACCTCTTGGATAACAGGTATTAGTTATTATTATTTCTTGATAATTTTAATTCTCTATTGTTACACTGGATCAAATTGTTCGACATTTGTTGGCATATGGTCTCCTATAAGTTATAAGTCAGCTGTAACCATAAACATCCAGGTACTATCAAAGAGTCCTCATTGCAGGTTATATCTCAAGAGTGGCTGATCAATTCTATCCCGTATAACAACAGAGAAGTGCAATTACCAACAAATAATGAAAGCTGTCTTTAGATTGATCATCAATAGCTTCTCTCAATCTCACTGTATCAATCTATTTTGGTGTGTTAACTTATCCTTTTGTCATAATCGTACTCGAGTTACTTACTTGCTCATGCTGTAAGGTTCAGCAGTCTGTATTTTTCACATTTAGTCATCATGTAGGTATACTATGAAGCTGTAATAGAAAATCTATTTTTTTCAATATTTTTTACTTACAGTTTTATGTCTATGTGTGAGACAGAGGAAACACCGTTTTCGAGGAGTTTTATCAAGTTACAAGAGTACAATAAAAATGATTTAAGAATACGTATTATGCAGTGGAATATGCTAGCTCAAGGTAAGTAATACAATTCAGGAATTAATTATTTTGTTTTGATATAGGTTTTATCCCACTGGATGAATTTGTATATTGTCCTAGTAAACTTTTATCACTAGAGCGGAGATGTAAGATAATAGCTAATGAAATTTTGCATTACAACCCGGATTTCATATGTTTACAAGAAGCTGATATCATTAAAGACATTGTAAATCATCTTAATGAGAATGGTGAAAAAATTGCCTACGATTATCAATTCCTACCAAAACGTTTATCACCGTGTTTATTTGTTGAAGATAATCAAGGTCCTGATGGACTTGCTGTTATTTATCGGTAAACTTCTGCGCCTCTTTTAATGTTCCCAAAAAAAATAGGAATGATAATTTTGAATTATTGAAGTCAGAAGAGATCCCATTGGATGAAAACAACTCACGTCAAGCATTGTTTTGTCATTTTAAGCATAAAAATGATGACAATGCCAACAAAGGGTATTCTGATATCTACCTAATTTGTCTTCATTTGAAAGCTAAAGAAAGCTGTTCAGAAATACGTTATCAACAAGGAAAGAAGCTTGTTGATTACTTGTCATCATTCATTAATCATACTTCCTCCAACTCAACATCAGTTGTGAACTATCCAATTTTTGTTTGTGGAGATTTTAATGCTGAGCCTACAGAATCAGTAATTAATCTTCTACGAAATTTCCCTTCCAGTCCTAATACACCCTATAAGCTTACAAGTGCTTATTGTTTAGCAGGTAGCGGTAGTGAACCTGAATTCACAACATGGAAAATCAGAAAAAGTGAACGAATTGTAAATTTAACTGAAGTTTGTCACACAATTGATTATATTTGGTACTGTGATCGTTTGTGTACTCTACTAGGGGTTTGGTCTATTCCATCGAAAAGTGAAATCGGTCCCTTTGGTCTTCCATCAGCTATGTTTCCATCAGACCACATGAATTTAATTGCAGATTTCAGCTTATCTACATGTGAGAGATAATGGAAGATGTCGAAATGTGACATTGTGTTCAAGAGCAAGCTTCAGTGTTTCTATCAGTCTTGCTTTAAATTGTTCATCAGTCAATTTCCACTTAACTTCCATGCGGTTGGAATCTTTTCCGCTAACTATGGATACGTCGTCGTACAATATGTAAAGAAAACGTTGTAAACACCATTCCTTCAGAACTCTATGCTTGTTGAATAAATACTGTACATACATCTTACTTAGTTATTACTTGAGATTATAACTTCATAAACTACTGGGATCAAGTTATTCACTATGTGTTTGAACGCGAATAGAATAAGGGGTTGTTCACGGATCCTTGTAATTTCCCGTTGTTGCACAGGGCCGAATCGCTCAACCTCTGTCTGCAGACGGCTTCTATCCAGATGCTTCAACACTGTCTGGATATTCATTATGTTACGGTCTATTTAATGGCTAGCAGTGGAATCCCGGATGTGCGTCTCTTCCTACTTGGGACTCGTTAGCTGGATGACGGCTGACGAGTACCGAGTGGGGCAAAACATGTGGTCTGGATTCCTTTGCTAGCTAGACTACAATAAAATGAGGGCGTATTGAGGTCGCTGTAACTTGCTTGCCTCTATTTTGAGTTAAAATGACTTAGTAGCTTGTATATGAAGTAAGATTTCACAGCATAGCTAGCAAGTATAAGTCGTTTTATCTGACTTATTTTTACCAATTTAACTCATTACCTAACCTCTATCTGAACAATGTTTTCATAAAACCCTAATGAGATAATAAAGTTTCAGGTGTTGTGTAATAATCGAATTATTCAAATACTGTGGTCTAGTTTATCACTACTAATTCATTATCACACTAATAAGTTTGTTCTTTAGTAGTTTGAAACGTTAACAGCTAGTTGCCCTATTTGAAGCAGCTATGAACAGTCCTTCCCCAGTGTATATATGTATCCTCTTTCTAATGAATACCTTAACTTATGTGACTGAAAACTTCTGACCATTTCCTCAAACATTCATGTTCAACTTGCAGCGCATAGGTGAGAAAAAGTTTGTATTGGAATACATCGCTTAATAATCTAAGCCTACTGATAACCAGACCTTCATATTTTTGACCGTTTACCAAAAGAGGTATGAATACATACACTGACTGTGTTAAAGCATACCTTACCACTAAAAGAATCAGTGACAATGCATTAGTATTCATCTCTATTTCTTTTTTATTTATATCATTATTTATCCCTTGGGTTCCTGGTGGAACATCGGGTTTCAACAGAACGTCTCTATTGAACTCTGTTTTCTGCAGTCTATTGAACCTGGGTCCATGTCTGTCCAGAAGATTTTATTTATTCCTCACACCATCTCCTCCATGTCACCCTCACCTTGGATGTCCAACCCATCGTTTCTCCTTTGGGTTCCCCTCGAGGGCCTGGCCTGATGTGTGATGTCCCCAATCGGTCTTCTCTATGTATGCCCAATCCAGCTCCAATTTCCTCTCCTGCATATTTGTTGGGCTCTCTATTTCTTTAGCTATAGAAAATTAGTACCAGTGATCAGCTTCAGTTTTGTTCATCTGACCTAGACACTGGATCTATTGGTTTCTCGAAAATACAAAGTTATTGCTGTAACATAAGATGAAAAGCGATTGACCAGCATGAAACATGAGTAATATTATTGTGAGTACTTGTATCAAAGTCTTTTTTCTAGTATTTTTCAATCTCTGGTGGTAATCAATCCACCCACTCAAATAATCACTTCCTAAACTTAAAGATAAATACTTATCGAATATGCGTTTAGTAAATAATAGTAGATTCTGGAAATGGCTATAACTTACTGACTGACTCACAAAATCAATATAGAACCTTACACAAAAGTCTGTCGGTTCAAGTTGCCACACTTTACAGTAGTATACCAAGAACAGATGGGTAAAAAGACAGTGATATCATATTAATCAAAGTTGTCTGATAGAATAAACAATCTGTAGGTAACGGTTAGTGTAAATATTTAAGCTTTAGAAGATATAAAGGCGTGAGTACATCTGCAACATTGTGACTGATTTCCAACCATCTCACCAGGAGTCCTCAACTACTGATTCCTTTCGTCTCAGGGACCCCAATCAGGCAGTCTACATCTCCCCACACAACTAAGACCATCAGTAAGAGAGTTCATCGACCGGTGACACGTACTGGTCTGGCCATCGGACCTTGCTGCATATATATTTCCAGGTTGTCTATCTGTTACCGTTTGACTAGTAAAGTGTTTTTATTACCAACATTCAATGCTTTCAGTGAAACCTTAAACTCGTCCATTGTTTTGTCAAACAAAGTGAGTTTATTCTGTTGCTTTCCAAAAGAACGCTGCTAATGACAGGTGGAATGAGGAATGTTAGTTGTTTGGAGAAATCGGCAGGAAACCCGGTTTTTCCTTGTTTATATGCTTGTTGGCACTTGTTAGGAGATCAGTCATAGTTCAAATAGCTCAGTAGTAACCTCGCTGACAGCACTGGTTGATGGGTGTTCGAATCCCTCAGGAGACATCAGTTTTTCTGAGGCTGCAGATACGCCTTGCTGACAAGTGCCAACAAGCACAAAACCCAGGTTGACCAGGGCCTCCTGCCGTCTGCTTCCAATCAACTAACACCCATCAAAGTGCACCGCGATGGTGAGCCTCCTAGCTTGATGACCACATTCCAAAATGATCGGCGAGATTCGGTTAAAACTCAGGGATAGACAGTATGAAATTGGTTGCTCTCCAGTTACCAATCAGAGTGTTTTTCACGAGGTTTTTGAGAAGTAATAATCGCCTGACCAAATCTTTACAGTCCTGTACATTGGCATAGCTATCTACAAGTGTTTCTCATGACCATTTAAGAGCTTACAAAATCCATTCTTCATAAGAGCTACAAACATGATGAAATCAATGTTTTTATTGATCCCTAAACTTACACATTTCATGAGATAATGATATTAATGATAAAAAATGTAATGTATAGAAGTTAAATTAAGTGACATTATCATAGACTGTTGCGTTTTTCATTCTGTGATAATGAACACCCGCTACCAGTCTTTTCAAAGTATGATACCATATCACAGATGTATACTTACCTACTATTTATTATTGATGAATATTTTACTCTATATCATGTTATAGATACATAAAATGTAAGTGATTCTACTTTATTAGGTCTGTGAACGCATGACCTTGAATGCTATTAGATCAATATTTAATAGTGAAATGTGAAAGCTATAAGTAGTTGACAGTTGGAATATAATTAGTTTCTTTTTTTCTGGAATTCATTTTTGTAACCGGTGTATACATTTCATATCAGTTTTAAATGATTATGTAAGGCCGTGTAGAATCTACATGTCAATTAAGCACTTCAAATGTAGTAGTGACCAAGGTCATTAAGGTTCATAATAATATGGACACATTAGATTATAAACATGAAAAATTCTATTTGTCACCACTTAAATTCCTCACCCTGTAATCGTAACCTGTTTCAAAGGATTTCAGTTCGCTTTATGATGAGCAACACGATAAATAGCCACTTGATCGGAGGCTAAAGAAGTAAAACTACTAATATTAATGTCGCCTAAGGTAACATGAAAGAGATCATAGAGAAAAATTACTAAAAGAAAACTCATCGAAGAAAAGTTTCTTCTCAACGAATCATTTTCAAAGCTCTATGTAGTAATCAGAGTTACAGAAAAATATGTATATCTTATCACCTAATGAGTGAGTACAAGGTCATCAAGAATGGTCAATAACGTCACAAGATTAGAATGTCTTGAAGGTCAACTCAATGTCATCACAAATTGCTGGGAGAATTATGACAAATAAACAAGGAAATGAATTACGAGTCTTATAGATATTATGACCAAGGTAGATTTAGAGACTCAGTGTAACTCTTTGGAACACAAAGATCAAACTGCATTGCTAAAGCCGAGATGCTGATGGCTTTACACTGTCCTTTGGACAGCTATGCAGGATAGTGTTCGGAGGATGGAAGCAATAATAGCGGTTTATTCCCCAATATACTGGCTCATAGAAGTGCGGCATTACAGCACAGTAAAAACCATAATGAGGTATTTCACCTCTGCTAGTTACTAAGACATCATGTTCGAGGGGAAACGTGCCTATCATCGTTTCTCCTTTAAAATGTTTAGTGATGAGTGTGAAGTTCGCTGTCTGTGACGCAGTTAAATGTGATGTAACAAAACAGCCTGAGAATAAGATTCTGCCTTAAAGGTGTAATGTATTTGAATGGAATCTTTATGCAAGAGAATGAATGGACAAAATGTATTTGTTCAAATGATGTACACAGTCCACAAAAACCAAGGAAACATATAAAATCACCACTATCTCTTTAAAACATGAGATGAACAGATATTGTACGCTTTAAATGGCTGAGTTTTATTTGCCTTTCTCCATTATGAATATATTTACATGTGTTTTTAACCTAGAGAATTCTGGATCTCTATACTCTTGGTGTTAATGGATTTAATTCAAGATAATACTTAGAAGTGCTATACTCATTGTTGTTTTGCGAACGTACGGTTCTTCTCATATTATAGCTGAGTGAAACATAGCTGATTTCTTCAGTGTTGCTTTAGACTCACTTACAGGTCTGAAAACATAAAAGAAATTAAGACAGATTTGATGTAAGTCAACAGTTGCCTTCCAGTAATTATAAGACAGAAATACTCAATGGCTGAAATAGGTCTTCTCACTGAGTTTAGATCGTTAACGGCAAATAAAATGTTTTGAAAGCAAAAAAGAAGAGGAATATAACTTTTGTTGACGTACTTTTAATTCCCCATTGTTTTAATGAATCAAATAGTTCGACCCCTGTTGACAAATGGGCTCCTATGAGGATGCCTCGATATTGTCTGAATATTTATTATGGTAATCTCTTTACTAGCCACAATCAAGTAAATTGCCCTAATAAATATTCAGACGGTATCGAACCATCCGTGCAGGAGACTATATCTGAACAGAGACAGAACAATTCGACCCAGTAAAACAACGTAGAATTACAAGTACGTCAGAAAAAAGTTATAACTAATATCCCTTATACAAGAGGTGGCCACTTTGCCTCAGTGGTCTAGTGGATAGCGCTTTGATGTCTGAAGTGATGCGTACGAAGCCCCAGTTTCGGTAGGAACAACTTCACAAACCGGAGTGTAGACATCAAGTTGATGAGTCCTATATAGGACGAAACGCGCATCCTGGATTCCTCTGCTAGGCGCAATCTTGCATATCACCGT